AAATATATTAAACATATGTTAAAATTATATATAAAAATACACATATGTAAAAAACTTATTGTTGAAACTGCTAACATCAAGATCATTCTCTGTTGAGGGATAGCTCTCACAATGTTTAGATTGATAACATAAAGAGCATTTTGGAAGAATAATGTTTCTCCTTTATACATGGAAGTTCATATTAATTCAATTATCAATGTGTTTCCTGTTTGTAGAAGTAGATATGTTTTTACAGCTTTATTTCACTATTACATCTTTCCTTTTTTCCTGTCCAACCATTTTCTTTTGCGCTCTAGCACAGTGGCCTTAAAGCATTAGTGCAGTTTGCAGCTGCTCAGAGAACGACATCACCACAGGTCCTGATTCAGAAACACCTGATTCGTCTTCTAGGAGGTATTGTATTCCTTTTCTTTACTGCCTTTCATGTTGCAGAAGTTTCTATTGCAAAATGGCACACACATTATAATAGAGCATAGAAGCAAAGGTTAGACTGCTGGAAGCAGTGCTAACTTCAATTTCTCTAATGTTGCCTGAAATCATGGAGTATTGCTTGAACTTAAGTAATCAATCATTCTGTTAACCCAGCCCTGTATCACTGAAGTCCCCCCAAAAATCCTCTATCCCAGATTACCTAGGCCTGGAGATACTCAGATCTGGAATATTTACCGATGGTTAACAATCTGTTCCCGGCAATGTTCAAAATTTCTCAAACTCTGTGCTAAACAGGTGGATAAAGCCACAAAACAGGTATTTCCCTCTCTTGATCGTGAGACTTCATCTTTTTAGTACTTTCAAAAGGCTGCTTGCAGCCTAGTTTAAGGTATTTTGGTCTTGGGGAGAGCTAGTTTGAGACACGCCTATCCTCCATCTTTCTTACTGATTAGCATGGTGGCCTTTGTGAATCCCACTCTTTGACTTGCCTTCTATTCGACAGGGTTCTTAGGTGTGGTACAGGCTTTTGTATTGGGCTAGGTTGTGAGGCATCTAGTGTTGCAGTGCCTAAGTACGTTTGTGGGCTACACCCCTAGCGCTGTGTGCTTTGTTAGAGCTGGAGAAATAAATAAAAAATTTTTATCTCAGACTTTTGAAGATACAGTCATTAAAATTGTGTGCCGTTTGGGCATGTGGAAATAGCTAAACAGATGCACAATCAATTAAATAAGTGGTAAGCAGTTAATTAAATAGATACTTCCTTAGTTCAGAGACTTGGACTTTTTTTTTGTTGAAAACACAGAAATGACAGAGGCTCTAAAATCAGAATCTGATATTGCAGTTCAATCCAAAAGAAGAAAATACATATCAAATGCATAACTGATATCTTTATTTTGTAGTTCTTCTACCAAACTTTAAAGTGGAGGACACTCCATCCCTTTTAGAAGTAGATATGTTCCACATTTTGGTAAGCAGGTTCATTTTATTCTCTATAGTAATCTTTTTTTTTTTTTTTTGAGCATGGATTTTTGCGTACTTTACCCTGTAGATAGTCCTGCATTATCTGTTCACTTGCATGAGTCAAAGGATTATACATCAGCACTGCATACAAGCAAATGATTACATATGGCTGCTGTATACGAGTGTTTAGTTTTAGTTCTGCTGTTCTTGCAGATTTCAAGTCTTTGCTCTTTCACTCATATTAAATTTCATGCTTGCAATCTCAGTCATCTTTTTACCACTTTCATTGCTATCAAGCCTCCAAAAAACTGTGAGAAATACACCCACTCAGCTTGTTTCCCTCACTTTCATTTTGTCTCAATAGGCCTCTCATACTTTGATTCCTTCACACTCACTCTCATTACCTTTTTTACTCTTCTTAGCTCTCACTCTCATTACCTTTTTTACTCTTCTTAGCCTCTTCTTTCTGTTCTTAATATAAATCTGTATTATAGTTTCTTCTACTTTAAAAAAAAACAAAACAAAACCCAAAAACAACCAACCAAAAAAACCCCAAACCAACAAAAAAACCAAACCCACCAAAATAAAACCTGTTTTGCCCTGATTGCCCTTCTAACTAATGCTTGGTCTTGCTTCTTGCTTTTTTCATTGTGCTTTGTCTTGTGTCAAAAACCAGAAATTAAGCTTTGTAGGAGTTGGACAAGCTTTCGTGGTGTATCTCTAAACTCACAATTATAATGGAGCTATGTCTGAGTTTCCTACATGCTAGAGGGGCACAAACAGTTAATATTTTCCAGTGAGTGTTTGCTACACTTTGTGAATTAAAACTAGCAAGATAAATGAACATATTTAAATTGACTACGGAAATGAAATATAAATGTATAGTGAGAATATAATTTCTATTACCCACATAGCTATTACCAAATTTCTGTTACTTTAACATTTGCTCCTTCCCTGTCACTGTAGGTGGGAGTTGTGTTATCCTTTCCATCTTTATACTGGGAAGATGCTGTAGACTTGCAACCTTCATCAATTAGTTCAGCCTATAACCACCTCTACCTCTTCCATCTGACAACACTGGCACACATAATGCAAATCATCGTCTCTTCAGCAACAGGTAGAGGTGTATTTGGGTTGGATTATTCTGGCATTTTTACACAATTTCTTAAAAATAATGGATGGACACCATTAGTGTCTTCTAGGTATAAACTTCCTCATAATAAATGACACTTAGTGCTAGGTAGTAATAACTGTTTTCTGGTAAAAATTAAATAGCACAGCATCATTTTCAGAGCATTTTATTATATCAGTTCTGTGTGCTTAGCCTAAGAAAACAAAATAGTTATTGATATATCAGTCTTGCTCAAGTCAGTCATTCCAGAGTGGTAACTTTCCCCTCTTCACTCCTTGTAGAAGAAGCAAAGCTCTGCCCAGCAGCACCACTCTGAGCTGTACAGTGACAGTTAGTATGAATTTGGGAAAGAAACTCTTCTTTACCCTTCAACCTAGTAAATAGCCAGAGCCAAAATACAGAATCCTATAAACTGATAGAAGAGAATTTCACTTTTCTCTGTATTTCATACTACTGTTAAAAACTGTCAGTAACCTACCAGCTTCCAAGATACTATTTCCTTTTTCTTCAGCATGACAGGAATGAAAATAGCGTAATCTATGTAGGACAATAACTTCAAACCTTCAAGGGAAGGAAGCACTTTTTATATGAGAATGAGCAATGAGGCAGTAATCCTGATTCTTCTTTACAGCATGCAGTTTTAGGAGAACATTTGTTAAGTTAAAAACAGCAAATAGAAAAGAATTAAGTAAAATAAAGTGGAAATATTTCTGTAATGCAATTTAAAAAAAAAAAAGTGCTCAGTATATGTAAAAATAGAGAAGTGTGCCACAAATGAAGTGCATTTACAGCAGGATTAATCTTTTTGTATGCAGAATCCCCTACTGCTCGATCATCTGACAACAGTGAGGAGGCGCAGTCTGCACAGTCTTTCTGTAGAGAGGTTTGCCAGTACACCAGTGGGTAAGCAGTAGTTCGGTTATAGCATTGCATTTTCCTAGAAAGATGGCAATCCACAGGGATTGACCTGAACAACACAGAAAACAGGAAAAAAATTATCCAGTTTGTATGGGGAGTTAGCACAATGTCTTGTGCTTTCTTCCCATATTCCTGAACACCAAAAAGAAAGGTAACTAATGAACAGAACATTTTTGCTTAAAACAGCTGCTTTTTGTGGACAACAGAGTAAATTCTTAGTCTAAGGATGAAAAAATACCTATATCCATTCTGGAGAGAAATACAACCACTAACTATAGTAGTTAATTTTTTTTTTTCTTTGCTTTGATTTTGATTGGGTTTTTTAGATCTCTCAATTATAGATGGAAGCCAGAAAGAAGGAAATGGTTCTATATTAAAAGGGGGAGAGGTGTAAAACTAAACACAGTTGCTTATTTGTTTAAGTGTTGGTGCCTATCTTTTCAGACTTTTTTGATAGGTATAGCTACAGACTCTTTAGTACTTCAGTGTCTGCGTGTGAAATAAACTAGAAAATATGGATGCACCCTCTACAAATTCTGCTTTGATTTATCTTCACCAAGGCTAGTTGCAAAGATATGTTTCTCAAGGATTGACAATGCTACCCACTTGTCTAAAAGTTTTAATTCTAAATTTCTAAATATTTAAAATTTGGTATTTAAATAGCAGGAGTAATTTTTCTGAGGCATGAGCTTAGAATCATAGGTGCTGTGCATTTTGGAAAATCGGGTCACTGTACTGAGCTGTCCAGGTACAGAATTAAATGCCAAAGATAAGCAACCCAGCTCTGAAACTTCCAGTGTTTTAATTTCTGGCTAGGCATTGTCGTCGTCTAACTCTGACCTATATGTGCTTAAACAGCACAACCTGCATAATAATTTTGCAGTGGTCTATGATACTGTAGTACAGCTTTACAGGTTGTTTCTCAGCAGGTCCTGGTTAATATTTGTGTGAACATCCTGTTCACTTAAATGTGACTTTAACTAAGTTTAGAATTTTTAGAAAACAGGGACACTGCAAGTAAGTTAAATTTACTATGAAACTTAGACTAAATGCTCGTATTGCACAAACTACAAGAATAATTACCGAGATGAGTATCAGTCCAGTATTTGTGTCAAAAATGGGATTAGTATAGCTATATTTTAAACAATCTAAGCATTGCTGTTGTGACTTCCATAATGAAGTATGAGATATTAATTTTTTAATTCTGTTTGTTTTGTTCCTGAAGAGTATTTATGTTTGGTTGTTTGGGTTTTTTCTCATTTTTTAATTGCATTCAAAACACAAACTGAGTGAAAAACTTTCACCATTTCAAAAATTTGCTGGCTTTCGGTAATACAAAACAACCAGTTTAAGAATCAATTTCTCTGTGTGCGATGCTGTATTGCACAGTTTAAATCAGGTTATCTTGAGTTACCTAGAGATGGACAGCTATGTATTGCTATTCATTTTTTATAATTCTGAAAAATACAAGTTGAGATAATTTGAAGGGTTAATGTAAATGTTCTACATAAACTCAGTACTCATTCCTTAGGCAAAGGGGAAGTCAGAAGTTAGGTGCTGGTGGCTGTGTTTCACAGAATTTGGGGTACATCAGTATTGCTTCTACCCAGCTGTCATTTTACCAATGCTAGCCAAAATGTGCAAGTGCTAGAAGGATTTGCACTGTGAACTACTGCAGCTATTTCTCATTTGTGTATTACAGTTGCTTTAGTCAGGATATTCCAGGCTGGCTTGTGTGGGATTGTGTTAAAAAAGGCATCATGCCTTACCTTCGTTGTGCTGCTTTATTTTTTCATTATTTGCTGGGAGTTTCTCCACCTGAGGAGCTACTACAAGGTAAATATGAGAAAGCAAATGTATCTATATACTGACTTTGTTTACTGTTTTCTTGGAAGAATGGAATGTCTAAATGTTCACAATAACTTAACAACAGTTAAAACATTAAAGTAAGACTTGGAAAGAAAAGGAGTAGGAAGGGGCAAGCATGAGAAGCTGAGTTGTCTTAGCCTTCTTTGAATAGAAAAGAGTTACTTCCGAGTATGTGCAAATACCTGAATTATCAATGATGTATTGATAGTATGTATTTGTGGATACAAAGATTCGGTGATTTAAGGATAATTCTAGGGGCTTAGATTACATCACCTGAGAAACAGCCTGGAGTATATTTTAAAAAACCAAAACAAACCCAACCCTTTTTGTGCAGTGGCTAATGTAGGTAAATGCTAAAGACATAGGGATTCAGCAAAACAGAGCCAAGTAGAAATACACATTGTAAAACTTAAACCTCTTCCTTAAAGAATCCTAATGCATTACAGATACTAAACCCCAAAATAAATATTTTGTCTTCTGACAAAATGCAGTGAAACATAGAATCATGAACTATTTGGAAAGGAGGACCAAAAATTGCTATGAAAAACTGGGACAAAATATAGCATCTTAAATTGGTTTATATAAACTGTGACCTAAGTTTGATTATGATATACGAGTCGAAAATCTCTCCACTTTGGGATATGCTATTGTCCTTACCATTAGTCTGGAACTTTGATTCTATAGGGAGCAGTCTTCCTGGTGAATAGCAATGCCATTTTCTGTAGCAGAGTCGATAAATGACCACCCGGCAAACTATTAAATTAGCCCATCTTTATGTAATGTGTTAGCACTGACTTGATCATAATAAAATTTAATATCACTGCAGGCCAGAAGGATAGTGAAAAGCTAAAATGGGGCAAGTACAGAAATCTGCTGCACTAACGTGTTACATATTATGCAGTGAAATGGAATGTAAGCAAGGAATTCTGTTATTACAGTGACTTATGCATGACTTAAAAATTACTTAATAGTATATGTCAAATTTGTTAAACCTAAAGAAGATCCTCAGCTAATGCAAATTATTATAGCTCTGATTAAGTCAGTGGAATTATCCAATTGTACTAGCTAGGAGTTATGCTGAAGCTGTAAGATACTTATTATTCAATGGAAAAGGGATCAGGAGACTTCTAGCCTTGAGTGAATTACTCAGCAGTGCTGAAACACTTTAACAGTTGCTCATATTTTCTTTTTCTTTTGCAGTTTCTGAAGAAGGGCAATTCAAGGCACTTTGTAGTTACCTCTCTCTACCTACCAATTTGTTCCTGCTCTTCCAGGAATATTGGGACACAATAAATCCACTGCTTCAAAGGTACTAGTTGGGACTGGACAGGTCATGTTTTTCTGTTGTGATGGCCCTATGAGAAGTCTGGATCAAATTTGTTAATAAATAATTGAACTCAAATTCGTGCTAGAGTTCTAAACATTTGTTTGATGTGCACAGGTACACTGAATCTCTTAAAGCACTTAAACATAAAACATTTTATATTTTATGGTAAATCAAACATTAAACAATTACAGTTTAAGGGACTAGTGCTTGCAGACCTACATGAAATAATTTATGCAGGAAGAAGTTATCATAAATATTTGCTTGCATGGTATGTCACTTACTGTTCATTGGCCTATTTTTAATCTGTCTATAGCAAAAGTGATTATTACATGAGCTATAAAATGAGAATATGGAAAATTATGTAGCCAGCAGGGTGAGGCTTTGTACTATTTCTTCTCTGGATTTCCACAATAAACTGATGAATGTCAAAGTTAGCTTAATGGTCAAAAGGTACAATTTAAGTATTACGTACATTGCAATGTAGCAGTAAAGAAATAATTGGTCAAATTCTCCATTCAAAAACACAAGTTAAAATAAACAGACAGTCCCCCTTCCACTAACTCTTGAGAATAATCCTGCTATATTGTGTTGGACAATGTGTCCATGTATTTATGTGACTGTTTGAGTACTTGGTTGCATTAATTATTATTTCTGGTTCTTGGCAGAATTCTCTGGCTCACGCTAGCTTTTTCTGGGTTTTTTTAACCTCTGTTCTGTTTTTTTTTTTTGTCTAGATTCCTTCAATTTAGGGACATTTTGAGCTGTTGACTCCAACTTACTGTCCATATAGCTGATATAAACAATTCCCTACATACAATTTTACTATAATTAATTGCATTTGTAGTATATATAATTACTTATAAATTAATAGCCTTTTCACAAGTAAATTATTAAATAAGTTTGTGTTATATGTTTGTACATGTTTGCTCAAAGACACAACGGTGCTTATAAGAGAACACAGGATAGGTGCTTGTAAACATTAGAAAATGATCACTAGAGGCAGGGCTAACAAATCCATCGTAGTGCTCCCAGTCAGAAAGAGAGGTTTCAAGTAGGAGGCTACATATTTAATATAATGGTAACAGTTGTCAAATCATCATGCAAGCTCCCATATGTTTTCTGAAAGAGTCTTATTTCGGAAGACTAAATTTGATGATTGTTGAGAAATGTGTTAAATGAAGCTTACTAGATGGACCATCTGCCACTGTTCTCTCTCTCTCTCCTCTCCTCCTTTTTGTAGAAATAACTTAAAAGATATCTTAGACATACCAATTCCTCTGTTTAGTAACTTGCTGATATCTACCATTGTTTTGGTAGACACATTTGGCCACTATAAGCAAGCATACAACATTCAGTAAAGCATTGTAAAATAAGGAGTGGGTGATGGTTATTAAATAAAAGCAATAAATATTTTCCTAGTAGACTGTATGATATTTTCTTAAGCTGTGGCTTTCAGCAGATATATTCCAAGAGGAGCTGTGTATTGCAGCCCACTTTGAGAACTTGAATATGTCTGAAGGCTGCTTGCATTTTTTAACTGTTAAATCTGTGTTTTCATGTGCATGTTGATAATTTTAAGCATTGTTGTTTTTCACATAGGTTTTTTCTTGTATACAAACTTAAATTCTTTTCCTGAAGCAAAACTGTAAAGAATAGTTGTTTCTACTTGTGAAGTTTTAGCTAGAACTATCAATGCTTTATCTGTGCTCTGTGTTTGCTTATTGCTTGCTAGTTTAGTTCAGTCATCCTAAATGTGTATTATTATCAAACACTGTCATCGGCAAATCTTTGTTTGAAATAGGTGGTGTGCTGACCCGGTGGTATTAAGTTGTTTGAAGGGGAAAAGCATTGCAATAAGGTAAACTTATGTTTATTGTTGTTTTTAGTTCTGAATTTGACTTAAAACTGTTGAATGAAGTGCTTGTTGTGGGCAAGTTAGAGTGTTTGTGTTTTCTTCCTCCTGCTCTACTATGAAAAGTACTTTTCTCTTTAAATGGTTGTGTATTATTCCTCATGCAGTGACTCTTCATTGAGAATGTACAACATTGTTAGACGAGTTACCTAGCTTACTCTAGGAAAAAACAAAAGCTAACTGAAATATGAAATGTCTTCATACATGTAGGTGACACATGAAATTTAATTTCATCATCTTTGCTGAAATACAGAGATGTTGAAGTTCCTATGTGGAGCCTCTAACTTGGGCTTCTAAGACTGAGGAACTGCTCTAGAACTGCAGAATTTTGCAGAAAGGACTGAAAGCTTAGCAGGAATTTATAGCTATCCATTCTGTTCTTTGCTGCGATCTTTATTATTCTCGTAATAGTTCTTTTTCACTTACCCAGGTATCCTAGGAAAAGAAATAGTTTAATAGAGCTTCCTGAAGACTATAGCTGCCTTCTGAACCAAGCCTCTCAGTTTAGGTAAGATGTGACATATTCAGTTGTCTTTCAGGTGTTTTGTCACTTTTAGTCACTCTTACATTCTTGCAGTTATTGTAACTGGTGTTAAAACTATGTACAGAAATTATTTTGCAGAAGTGAAGACACTGTTAGGGTTATACTGGCCAGTACTAGCACGTGTTCATTTTAAATCTGAAACACAACAGCTAACTAAATGAAGTCACTTGTGTTTGATAGGATAGCATATAAGATTATTATAACTTAATCTGCTGGTCATTTTTCACCAGTGCCATGTGCATTTGGTTTGGCCATAGGCCTGAAAATTATTTTTGCACTGGGCACAACAGGCCCAGAAGGTTGGCGCTGTTTTATGCCAGGAAGAGTGAATCATAAGATAATTCAGGTTAGAAGGGACTTCAGCAGATCATCTGTCCAACAGATATCTTGCAGATAAAATATTTCAAGCAATATAGCCAAAGGAGGCAGATATGTGAAATATGATTAAGACATACTATGTCTTAGGTTTTTGTTTGTTTGTGGGTTGAGTTTTTTTGGGGTGGTTTGTTTTTTAAGCAACATTATTCATAGTTAACATTTCTTTTAAAGTTATAATTTCTGCAGTAATGTTCTGGTTACACTTCTCCTAGATGCCCGCGGTCTTCTGATGATGAACAAAAACATCCAGTATTGTGTTTATTCTGTGGGGCTATGTTGTGTTCCCAGAATACTTGCTGTCAGGAACTGGTGAATGGGGAGGAGTTGGGAGCCTGTACTTCTCACGCTCTTCAGTGTGGAGCTGGAGTCTGTATGTTTCTCAAGTAAGTAGCTAGCCAGAATTTAATGTGTTAAAGAGGAAAGGGAAATATTTGGAGGTCAAAATTCATAACATTGTCAAAGCACTTGATTCTTTTTGTCTGAGATGAAGAAACATTGTTTTGACCTAAACTGTAGCTCACCAAAAAGTTAAGAAACTGCTGGGAGTTGTCTTATATTTTAAATGTATCTATTTTTTCTTTAAGAATCAGGGAATGCAAAGTTGTCCTCATTGAAGGTAAAACCAGGGGCTGCTTATATCCTGCTCCCTACTTGGATGAATATGGAGAAACAGATCCAGGTCTGAAGTAAGTAAATGTTTGACTGACTTTCTTTCTACATTTCTATTTTGGTACCTCTTTCGTTCTTACACCCATTAGACAACATGTTCTTCCTGCTAGCATGGACAGCACTGTAATATGTATCTTGGTCTGGTGAACTTGTTTAACTTCAAATTCCTGATGGCAGTTTTCAGTCATGAATGGGTCATTCAAAATGGAAAAATGCACTTTTTTGGTACTGTTAAACTTCCTTACTTTTCTCAAGAATATTTTTTGTATGCTTTTCATCAGAAATGTGCAACACCTGCCGTTGCCAAAATGTCATCTTGGAAATGGCTGTCATTGCGTGTCGCATGTAGAATTTTTTTCATTTCCAGTATACTTGTTGGAATTGGTGTTCACACAAGTATTTAATATTTTCTGGCTGTCATTAGGAGTGTTAATGCTAGACTATTAATGGAACAGTTTGTCAGCTGCTATTCTGATATACTTATTGGGTATTCTCCTGTTTTCTTCTATGAAGAAGAGGCAATCCCTTGCACTTATGTCGGGAGCGTTACCGGAAGCTCCATCTGCTATGGCAGCAGCACTGCATCATAGAGGAGATTGCCAGGAGCCAAGAAACGAATCAGATCTTCTTTGGATTCAACTGGCAACTGCTCTAAGTCTCTGGATTTTTAGTGAAAACTCTTACTTTTGGCAGTGCTTTGGAAAAGGAAAGGAGGGTGGCAGTAGATAATCTACTTTCAAGTGGATTCTGTAGTTCAGACATGAGGGATTCTCTAAGGTTGTATTACTGATACATTGAAACAATCTCATGTCACATGTTTTGCTCTTTTTTTTTTTTCCCCCAAAAAGGAAAACTGCATTATATAATTATTACTGAACATTCAGGTCCAGAAGTATTTCCACTTTTTTGAGAAGTTGTAATTGTTTCACATGTTTTGACAAGGACAGCTTCCCAAATGCTCTGCTTCAGGGCATATACCACATTTCTGTCTCTTCCATGCCTTGAGAATATATCTTAATGGTGTTGCTATGGAAAAGCCTCCTTTACTTTTTTCCTGGGTTCTGTTCCCAAGCTTAGTGAAGCTTTTAAATAGGTCAAGATCTGTGGCATAATATTGGAGTGGAAGTGGTGCCAGGCCTTTAGTAATCTGTAGCAACAGGTACAGCAAACATTAAATTGTGCAGAAAAAGCCTGCATTCAGCTATATCCTGGGATTTAATGAAGAGTTTTCATTAATGAAGTCTTTAAAGGAGAAGTGTGGGACAGAAGGTGCATGGGGGAATTACCATCTTGCTTATTGCATCAAACAATAAAGTCTGTGCTTTTTGCATTGCCAGAACTGCACTTTATCTGATGAATTTGTCCTCTATTAATGTTGTATATCCTAAGAGGTCTAGGGCTACACCATTTGGCTAGGTTGTGGTTAGTTTTACTTCTTTTACAATTTGTCTTCTGAGATTTTGCCCGAGAACCAAACATGAAAGGTAGTTGTTAGGTAGCTGTAGTGTAGCTCTGCAAGTTATACAAGAGCCAGAGACTTCAATAAAGCAGAAGACCTTCAAAGCTATCACTGGACTAAAATCAAGGCCCAAAAGCAGCAAGTTTTAGAATCAGAAATAAGTTTGTTTGCCCATATTTGAGGAATTTTACACTCTTCATCCTCTGTCACTATTGTTTGGAGCCCTGCCTGCATAAATGAAATTGTGTGTTTTGGGGGGCATGTTTAGTGGCTCAGTGCCAGTTAGAGCAGAAAAGGGAAAAAAAGGTGGCTAAGTCTCTCTTTCAGCCCTTCAGTAGTTAATAGCACATTGTGATTGAACTCTCTCTCAATGATACGTGATTGTGTTTCAGTTCTAAATGTTTCTTGTTCTGTTTTCTGAATTTCAGCCATAATATACACGAGAAAATTTGTAATGTGATGGGTAAAAATGCTTTTCCAGGAAATCCCATTTCTGTGTGAAAGTTTGAAGTTGTCAGTCCTCTGAATTTCCCCACTCCTTTGCTATTTGGTTTCTTTTGTGTCATTTTAATCGGGTTTGCAAGGGGAGGTTTTCAAATTGATGTCTGAGAGCGTGTTTTTGTATGATTTCTGTTTGATTTTTTTGCTACTGATTGTATGAGAGATAGTAGAATCACAAATAATGATTTAGATTTAAATATCATTGTTCTCCTAGTTTTTTAAAGTTTTTAGAGTACATATGAGTGCACTGAACAGCACCATAGCTCATCTAAGAATGGAACACCAATGAACTCAAATATTGTTCTGACTTGAAATACTTTTTTATAACTTTTGCTATAATCCTTCCCTGGTGGTATAAATAGTTGGCTTTGGTATATTTTTCAGGTATTCTGTTTCTTGCAATTAAGACCACTCTCCTGATTCTGGTTCTTTCAAATTTTAAACCTGAATATGAAACTCTTTACAGACATTAATTCTGTTAGTCTTCTCTAAAATGTATTTGAAATGCATACTGAATTTAAAAGAACAGTTGTCATGAAAACTTGCATGCACTGGCCATTCCTAAGGTCATCAAAACACTTCTTACCAACAAAAATATTGGATTAAGACCAGCAAATGTATGCCTCGTTGATACCAAAACTGTATTCACTTACTGTTTCCCTCTGATACTTACCTAGTCATTTATCAAAAACTTTCAGTTACCTTGCACTTCACTGATACAAAAATTCCGTTATCAAATATGCAGTGAGATCACTTTATTTTGTTTTCTGTCTGAACTGTAGTATATAAGGACAGGAGCTAGTCTGGGCTGGTGAGCTCATGTTTAAAGCTCCAGAAATCTCTTTGTAGCTGAAGAAGTGGGAGAGGAAAGTTGCATCTTTCTGTACGTTTGCACATACTAATTTAGCAAATGGGCTCCCATATCATTCACTGGCTAGCGTGGTCATCTTTCATTTCATAAATTACTATGCAGTTTTGTTCACTGTGAGTATAATCTGTATTTAGTGATCGCAAGATGCTTATGCCACTGATTTTTGTTCCATCCAAGCTGACAGAAGAAGTTATTTGATAATGCACATATTGGTATCTTTAATTGCAAAAATGTAAATTTGAAACTTGTATAATGTTCTTGTGCTTTTGAAATAAAATATCTTGTATATGTATATTTAAAAAAAGGAAATAAAGTAAATTCTCATAGATGATTCAATTTTTATTGGGAGGCACTTTGATACTTCATTTTACAAGAGCATTATAGCGGCATCTGTCAGTATGGAAAAGGAGAAGAGTTAGTAAATGGTTGGTAAACAATACCAGTCATCCCTGTAGTCTGTATCATCATTGTACCAGTTAGTAATGGTGGCATGCTTTTTCTTATTTAAAGAAATATTCCACTCGAAATTTGTCCTAGTATTTTACAGATGCAAATTCCTGCAGTGTCTACCTCAATTTGTAAAAGAAGTCTTAAGTACAGAATTTCATATTTGGATATCCTTAAACTGATGAGTTGGGTGACTCTGGGTTTATAGCTTCTCAAAGAAGAACTGGCTGTATTGTCTGTCAGATACTTAACCTCTAGAAAGGGAAAGTTTGTGGTGTTGGTCTAATGTGCTGTGTGATACACATTTTAAAAAAAGTGTGTTATTACAGAGCTAAGCAAACAGCCAAGAAAGCTTTTACATAGAAGCAGCCAGTACTTCTTGCCCCTTTTTATGTTACAAGCTGCTGGCTGTCATCACTCTTGCTGCATTGTTGTAGCTTTGGGCACCGTTGAGCTTACCGAATTTGGGTGTTAATGGTGTTGCTTTCCATGCTTATTCTTAGTAAAGCAAACGGTTTTTAAGAACCAGTTCCTGAAAAGGTAAAAGGATGTATTGGGTTTGCATGGCAAGGTTTTGGTAGCGGCGGGGCTACAGGGGTGGCTTCTGTGAGAAGCTGCTAGAAGATTTCCCCATGTCCAACAGAGCCAATGCTAGCTGGCTCCAAGATGGACCCACCGCTGGCCAAGGCTGAGC